GGAGGGTAGTCCACTTACCTAGGCACACAGGATGAACTTGACCTACTTACTTGATGTCCTCACTATGCATTTTAACAATGTTGGAGATGAAGTTGTCTTTGACAATTGCAGTTCTGATGGTACGCCAGTCAGAGGCGCTTTCCCCGATGAGGAGACAGATAGCCTCCAGAGCTAACTTGACAGGAGGTGGGGGGTTTGACATGGTCCTGATCTCCACTAGGTCCTTCTTTTTTATTCCCTTCACAGCTTTGGAGGGAAGGCAAGGAGAGAGAAACGTACAGGTCACAGAGCATCAAACTCACTGGTTCTACCAACAGTATGCAGAAAGGCCAACCACAACTCCATGTCCGTCATTTCATTACATAAGCGCTGATCAAATTTTGGGTTAGTTTTTCCTTAAATATCATTTATTTACCACAAATGATTTCTAGATATGAGACCAAACTGTGTTTTAACCTGAACCAATTTGACAGATTTTGTATGGTTGGCATTTTCTGGATACATGAGGCAGACAACCCCTAACAGATAACCCCAGTAATTGTCTGAGTGACAATACACCTTATACTTCTTACACTGGTCCCTACAAACTCACGGAATAGCAAGAGTGTCGAAGTTGACAATGGTGGAAATGAAATTTTCTCTCATAATGATGCCTCTCAGTGACTTCCAGTCAAGATCCTGTTCTCCGAGCAAGGTACAGATGGACTCGATGGCCATTTTGACAGCAAAGGGAGGATTAGGGAGGGACTTGACCTCCACAAGATGCTGTTTCTTGATAGATTTGACAGCTGAAGAGAGCAAAACACAAAACAAAAACATAACAAAATAAACAAAATATATTGAGCATGCTTAAAAACACAAATGATATATAATACAACAGTACATGGTAATGTGACATAATAAAATAGCACAACGGCCTAACACACATACACAGCACCCTGTACAACACACAGTGTACTGTACACACATGGAAAATGTTTGTACAGGACACAGAATTACACTAACCTTATAATACTCCATCAGAAATTGTTCTATCAGTCTACTAGAGGTGGAACAAATGTTCAAAATATAGCAGGAGCATGATGCTCTTGTATGTACACATCTAGATTAGCAATGATACATTATACAATCAAGTACAAGCATATTCCTCAATTATAGGAAACTTTAATCACAATCGTTAATGATGCAAAAAAAAGAGAAAACTTTAAGCTAAATGCAGAATTGTCCTCAAGATCGATTAAAAGTAAAAACAAACTAGAAACTGTAACAGTGACCTTGACCTTTTGAAATCTTAAATACACAACTACATATCACAATGTATCACCATGTCAAATTTGCAAAAGATAAGTCGTTTGGACTGTGAGATAATCTCTGGAAATGAAAGTATGGTCACTGTATGATTGGCTAACATTTACCATGCTTATATTTATTTTCTCTAAGCAATATATACAGAAATACCTGTCAGATGCAAAAAAAAGAAACTTTACAAGGGAGATAACCAAAACAGCATTACTTAACCAATAACAATACACATCATACAGCCTTCATTTTGTGTATTATTACTTTTGCATAGAATTCACTGAATGTGAAGCTTATGTATTTATAGAATCAAAATTGACTTATTTGTGTATGATCAAGAGCTAGTATATATGCCTTGGTTGTCTCCCATCTCTGTCAATCCATTTGTATAAAACCACAAAGTTACAACAATGACACCTGTAATAGGTTGTAAGCAAAAATAGATATACACGTCTGAAAGCATTGAAATGAGAACTTTCCTAATTAGCATTCCTTCCATCCTATATTGTATTTAATATAATACCAATTACATCGGTTTTATTGACTTTGTATAAAGAGGTGATCTTCCACCCAGGTGTTGTGACATGGGATTTGTACATGTGTGATTTGTGCATGTGCTTTTCATACTGTCAACAACTCAAATTCTTGACCTCATTGTTAATCTTAGATATAATTCAAATGGTTATAAATACCATGGATTTACCCATTTGTGTAATTGTTAAATAACGGTGACACAATTTCACAATATGAAGTGTCTATGAATATTAATCTAACACTAGAAGTGAATGAACTGAAAAGATAATAAACTGAAGATAAGCGGATATCTACACAACAATAGTACAGTTTACTACATCTATCTTCTACATCCTCAGCTGTCCATCTATCAAACACTAGGTCAGCAGGAGGTCACCATAGTTAGGCCATCTTTCACCGACCAGCTGGTCTACTCGAGGTCAAGCCTTGACACAGTAAATCTTTCTATTACTGACCAGATTAACCAGAGGTCAAACCTCGTACAAATTGGGGCGAACATTAAGAAAGCGTTTATCTAGATTTGACAACTCTCCCTTTGTAGATGTTCCCCAGCTTCTATATTTGTGATAACACTGGTTTATGTTCCCAGGAGCAAGAATGGATACACAACATTAACTGAGCAATACATTAGAGGAAGTGTTATCAGAAAGGAATCTTACCTACATTAACTTATTATTCATACATATCAACTTATACTCATAAATACTTACAAAAAATATACAAGGAAAATAAAGTTTTATTAAATTACTGACCAAATGTGGTAAAACTTGTAGCAGTTAATGTGATGTATTTGATTTAAGTGAACTCACATCTTGTTTTGAAAAAAAGATGAGATATACAAATAAATCTTTGATGCAGTATAACTAAACACCCTTGGACATATATATGAATATACATTGTCTGCTGATTTTGTTCAATAAGTTTTCTAAGTTTTATTCTTGTGATGTCTCCATCAACAGTATTGGGTGTAGCTTGGGACAGGAGTCCGACAACAATCCCTACCTTGCTGTGCCTCTATAACGGCTGGCTCTACCCCAGCTAAATCAGCTTTTACGCTTGCTGATTTCTCTCCAATTATCTTCGTCTGCTCAATAAGTGCCACCTGGATTTCCTGTGATGTCATTTTTTTTCTCTCTGCTTCCTGCTGATCTTTGACCTATGTTTCAATAATTGAATAATGTAATCTTACCAAGTCTCTGATGGATAAAAATAGCAATGTTGGTCATTCATGATTAAAGAATAAGAATTCCAACTCAATATTTACGGAAAATTAAGTACGACTAGGATAATGTAAATACTTCAGGATTGTTTAGTTTCAACGATCTCAAAATACTAGGGTCTATCAGAGATCAGTTTTTATCTCACTGGTCATTTTTTGAAGCATCACTAGTGAAGCCTGGAAGTTTATTTACCATTTGTTTGAGTTTGGCATTAGCTGCAGCGTTTTTCTCCTCTAGTTCAATACGTTTGACTGAGAGAGATTTCTGCAGCTCTTCCACCTGGTCGACTGTCTCTCGGATTTTCTGTAGACCGATGTTCAGATGAAGTTGCTGCTCCTCTAGGTCGGATCGTTTCTCATTGTACAGTTTAGCCTGTAATACATAGGAGAACAATACACCACGAAGCAGTCAGACAAGTCATTAAACTGCAATTAAAACCTACAAGCAGACATTTATTGATTCAACTAAAATTACTGTTATTTAATTTCTTTGTAACATTCTATGCAATTTAGTGACTATACTTGAAAAATGCTGTTAACAGACAAGTCCCTTATTCTTGTACATGTCAATATGGTAAGAAGTCACCTCAAAAGCCACATGCTTTCAAGACAGTGGTTGCACCAGAGTACAGAGATAGTGTCACACGTACGAAGTGGTTAATGAAGTCAAGGTAGTGTCTGGGTGTGATTGCCATACAGCGCCCGCCTCGCTTAGCTACACGGGTGTTGGCTTGGTGCAGCGACTGGTGGACGTGGACGAAGGCGTTGGTCACAACCTCTCTGTGGGACGGCCTCGCAGACAGACCCTCATAGGCAGCAGGCAGGTAGTCAGGGGGAATGTACTACAACATTGCAGTGTATCAATCAGACATGGAAACATCAACTTGTTTATCGGCTTTCATTTAGTAGCATCTAATATTTATACAGTGAAATAATTCTAGCATATACTTACATTAGA